CGGCAAACGTAACCTTATTGGTAAAACTCATAATTGAATGAACTAAAAGGCATCAGTCTTTCTCACATTTAATTTAAGATCATTTTCAATCATATGATCGAATCAGAATTGCGAAATACAGCGAAGTCTGACTTAATTTATCTGAGCAAATGTTTCTCCAAAGCTTATCGAAAGTTAGATAGTTCAACAGTATGACTACGGTCTAGGAGATGTTCATGTATAGTAGAAGAACAGCGAGCCGAAATTGCTGTGTACTATCTCTGACTTTGTATTAATATTGACTTTTCCTTTTCAGACAGAGTTTATGGCGCGATGGAAGCAACATCTGGTTGACGAAAATATTAAAAATTGATTTCACTATGTTCTCGAAGAAAAGTCCGAGTAAAACATGGTGGAATCAAGCATAACGCGCTAAAAGCCTTCCACAAAGCTAGAGATCGATTAGGCATGCCTTTCTTCGGGTATGCGCTTGAGCAAAAAACGTCAGTAGGTCGCAGTTTCCCTCGTTAAAAACGGCCCGTAAACGGTGTAAAACCGGTACGTTTACGGCCCGTTAACGTAGACTTAACGGGACGTTAACTTGGCCGTTTTGAATGGCCTGGGATGTATATGTAATCACACAGATATATCTGCCTGTGAATAGAAAGATATGTAGAAAGCAAAAATATAATGGGATTTGACACCAAATGAAAGCGAAAAAGGGAACGGGCTAGCAGCACAAAATCAGATGAAATCCTACAGTAATCTTACCAAATCGTATGATAAGATATCTATACGATCTTATAAGACCTTATAAGAGCTTACTGTAAGATTCTATAAGATGAATCAGTTTCTATGATTTTCCGTAAAATTTTTATACGATCTTGTACGATTTTTGTCTGATATTACAAGATCATACTGTAGGATCATATAAGATCTTACAGTAAGATTCTTTGACTTGGGTTAAGGCTCAACCGCTATGAGATTGTAGCTTACACTCTGATGAATAACTTTTGCTCCAAGGTTATAGTCTGATTCCGAACTTCGGGTAGCAAGAAGACTGTATTTTCTGACTAGGACTCGTTTTACTAGGCATTTTGCGTGTATTGGTTCGAATTAGGAGCAAAAAATTGCTTGTGGCGAATTAAAAACAGTGTTCCTAATTCGAACCGGAGAGATGTCTAAAGATAATTTAATATCTCTGTATAGAAATGAAATTAATGGTTGAACCTCTGGAATCCAGTTTGATGTGGCGAACATTTTTTGTTCCAAGAGTACACGAAGCTTTCTAAATGGGTGCAACTGTTAGAGAAGTGAAGGAAAATAGAATAAATAGATGAAATAGGATATAGCAATTATCATCGATAGAACGATTTGCCTTGATTAGAAAAGAGATACTTAGAAAATATCCTGATAGACAAAATATTATATACTTTCCCTGCCGTTTCGATTAATAAATATTAAGGTCAATAGTTTTTCTGGGATATGAAAGCAACTCGTTTAAGAGCAATATCTTGTCCCTGTCACACTTATAAAAGAACAGATGTATGATACTTCTTTTTACTTGATTTGAATACACTGTACTTTATATACCATTCGATAGAGAATTTTACGGGCTACAAAATGATAGATAACATATTGAGAACAAATTGGACCTGAGGGTCCTAACACTAGAAATACTACCGGAGAGTGATGTTTTCGACATCGACGGATAGGCTAAATCCATATAAAACAGACTGCCATTTACATCGACCTTTGACGTCAGTGACGAGACCGACCTCATATTATAGAGCTCAACAAGCTGACCGAATGGTGAAAATCGCAAGTCTCCAGCCTTGTTAAAAATAAAGCTATAGCCATTTTACCCTCGCAGCAGAAAAATGCATTTTCGTCATTTTCCAGCAGATTTGGCCTAAATTGTAGAACGTCTACTGACCACATTCCCTAACGTAGAACCTTGATGTTGGTATCAAATGAAAGAGCGCATCGAGTTCTATGTATTTCGATGGAGAAAAGTTATGCTACATCTCGGAGTCTTGAGATAGAGATTTCTGAAAAACCCGGTTTTGTAGAAACCTAGTGATCTTAAAGTTACTTTCAGAAGCCTTTCAACCATATCAATAGATAGCCCCTTCAATTCTCCATAAAATAAGATGCTGGCCAAGCTTCTACGATCTTAGACAACCGAGTTATAGGCTTTTTAACATTATGAATATAAATTCAGTGGCGTTAATGCCGTTTTCAATCTGTATCGTATTTTCCATGCCACGTTTTGATACAACATCGTAGAAACTTGGCCAGCATCTTAAGATGCTGAGGAATAATAGACCTTAAATATAACACTAGATACATCGCCTGTTGATTATAGTGTAAGTTATTTTTTCATCATGTTCTGCAACCATCAGACTGTTTGACATTATGCTTATATTTGACATACTTCCATACTAGTAACATACTTCGTTCGTTTTTCAAAAAAAAAACAATAGAACAGCGATGGAATTATATTATACTTGTAAAAAAAGAAATGAGTAAGAAAGTAATTGAGAGGAAACTCAAGAAAAGAAACATTTTTGTGAAAAAAAGAATATAAACAAATCATAGTAGGTTTTTTCCACATTGCAAACGAACAAAATACCTTACATGTGAATAGAGGATCTCTTCTCACACACGCTTAACGAGTTACAGCAATGCATAGATACATAATTCTTTTAGTCATCATCTTTTGCAATGCGCAAGATGATCCTCCGATTCCGAAGTATAATGAGGCTACTAGTATTTCGGCAATGTTTTATTCATCTGCAGCTTATTGTGATCCACTTTCATTACTTCTTTGGAATTGTGGTATTGCTTGTTCATCAAATGACGGCATTCTAACAGTCCGTCCAGTTGTCTACGTAACGACAAAATCATTTACATACGGTTATGCCACTTATAACACGATTACTAATACAATTATCGTAGCATTTCGTGGCACAGACGGTATACCGTCAGATATAACATTCCGTACTTTAGAAAGTTTTCTAAATTGGGAAACAAATCTTGAATTTACAATGATCGATTATAATGGTGTACCGAATACTAAAGTGCATATCGGTTTCTATCATGCATATGATGCAATTAAAACACAAGTACGATCGAGTGTATACGCTCTAGTGCAAACATTTCCACAAGCAACAGTCCTAGTAACTGGGCATTCATTAGGCGGTGCCTTAGCAACATTAGCAGCCATCGATTTAAAACAACAGTATGAAGCAGCCATAATACAGTTGTATACATTTGGTTCGCCTCGTGTCGGAAATGCAGCATTTGTTGATTATATGTACACTTTTTTTCCACAAGTGAGTCTGTCGTTAAAACTTTTCCATCAGTTATAAAGAAGTGAGACATCTATAAAAAGCATCGTTTTGCGTTAATAATAACTAAGTACATAAAGGGCACTATAGTTAACAAGAATAGGTACGCACCAGTACTAGTATATCGGATTCCAAATAAACTGAGACCCAAATAATTTGGCTTAATCAAAGATCACGATTGCACGCCTACTGATGAAAATAACACTACGGTTTTGCATTTTAATCATAAATAAACGGTATTTTCAACCTTTTGAAAGGTTTTGACCTATAAAAAAAGAAACCAATTCTGAAAAACTGTTTTATTACCTTTCAAGAGATTGAAAATACCGTGTGTTCATGTTTAACTATGTTCAAAACTATTCTGTCTCTATTCATAGGGGTCAATTTATCGTATTGTACATTCAAATGACATCGTCCCTCAAGTGCCAACATTTATGGAAAACTATGTTCATGTTGGTATTGAAATATGGTATCCCAATAATGATTTGACATATCGTCAATGTCTACTTGCACCACCTGTTTATGAAGATCCAACATGTTCCTTTAGTCAAGTATTAAATCTTGATATAGCAGCACATATGCTTTATCTTGGTTATTCAATAACAAATCTTTGTCCAATAGAATGTCCGTTAAGTGAATGTACTGGCTGTCCAGTAAACCTTGAAAAGATGAATGATGGGGGTAAGTGTACTTCATTAGTTATTTTTTTACCTACAGATTGTGACTACTCAAGACATAGAAGATCCCAAAAAACGTGGCGGTTTGGAACTTTAGTATAAAACTGAGTATAGAATAGAAGACCAGTAGACTTCTGTTGTGCCCGGCATTTAACTCCTCAGAGGTGGGCGTCAGTTGATGTCAAGTTTTGCAGCGAGCCTTCTGAGTAGTGCGCAATAGAAATTGATATGGACCGCATATAACTCAGAAAGGCTCTACTTTGTAGTAGCGTAGGTGATATTTGCCTGTTTCGATGGCCAAAGAATTCATAGTTTTATATTTAGAATGAAAAGTGAAACAGGACTTTTTATATTAAAACCTCCAAGGTTTTCAGCAAAGGCTTTTATTTTAAAGATAGGCTTCTGTTGTGTCCCTCATATCATAGGCTCGGATCTACTCTGTTCCCGGTTTAGACCTTGGCGCTGCCACGAAAACTAATACCGTATTAGCACGGCGAAGTACGAAAGATATAATAAGAGCTTGAACTGGGGTGCAAAAGTTTTCAGGAAACAGACCTATCAAGCCAATCGAGCAGTTAATTTTTATTTGCTTTATTTCTTATATGATCAGAGAAGAACACTGATAACTTTTTGTGGCCGGTGACACGACCTTATCCGGCGTAGACTGGAGTCAACGCAAGCCAGTTGCACTCTGCTGTTTTAATCCTTTCAATATTGTGTTCTAGCAAGAAAATTGAGAATCCAACATTTGCTGTACAACAATGTATTGCTTCGAAAAGGTTTACTGATGGACGGAATTTGCCCAGGACACTGTGATGGATCGGGATGTGATGAAGTAACTGGAATCTGTAAAGGTGGCTGTTCAAATTCTAATTTATGGTGGGGACAACTTTGCGATCAGCCATGTCTTGGTCACTGTGATGGTATGGGCTGTCGTAAGGACAATGGTCTGTGTGCCGGAAGATGTTCAGACAACACTAAATGGTGGTCCGATCAGTGTGATAAACACTGTGGCGGTCATTGTGATGGTTCGGGCTGCAACAAAGCAACTGGTTTTTGTAACGGTGGCTGTTCAGATAAGGCTATATGGTGGGAATTAAAATGCTGTAATAATCCCTGTATAGGACATTGTGACGGCTCGGGTTGCAGCCAATCTACTGGATACTGTAATGGCGGTTGTGCAGATAATACTCAATGGTGGGGCAAAGCTCACTGTGATCAGCACTGTATAGGGCATTGTGATGGACAGGGATGCAAACAGACAACTGGTTTTTGTAATGGTGGCTGTTCGGATAACACTAGATGGTGGGGTGATGAACATTGTGATCGAGAATGTGTAGGACATTGTGATGGGCAGGGCTGTAATCAGCACACTGGATATTGTAATGCCGGATGTAACGGTAAATGGTGGGGATTAAATTGTGACAATAGTTGTGCACAATGTGATGATTTTGGATGTAATAAAGAAACGGGCGCGTGTAATCATATTCCAGCACCCACATCAGCTATTTGAATGATTTAATTATAGTTTATTTGTTACAAAATAACCGAGAATTTGTTTCTTTATATCGTGTTTGATTAAATCGTAGTACAAACCATGCTGTTTTCTTAACTATTTTAAGACTGCCCTAATGGAACTTCTTGTACCCAAGATCTTGGCCAAGATCTTGGGTTAAGAAATGTCACAAGATCTTGGAAAAAACACCAAGAAGTCAAGATCTTGGATTCTTGAATTTTTCACTCAAGATCTTGGCCAAGA